CCCCAGAGAGGCCCAGAGAGGTTCCGAACATGGCTCCAAGGGGCGCCCGAGAAGCCTCCCAAGAGAGGGGCACAAAAGAGGAAGAGGGATGAACGAGGAGGAGGAGGAGGAGGAGGAGGAGGAGAAGCAGGAGGAGGAAGCTGAATCATAACATCCCTGGCCGCCCGTTGGGCTGCTCGTTCTCTGTCCGTCGGCCTGCGCCTGTGTCTCCGTCCGACTGGGGAGCACGAACAGAGCAGCCGGCCAGTGGGCAGTCGTCGGACCCGCGCTCCGAGGCGCCGCGACGAAGAGAAACGCCACGCCACGCTGCAACCGTTTCCTACGATTCCGGCGTCCAGGGCGATGCCGGCGTCCGCGGAGGCAATCGGCGAGAGAGCGGCCTGCGACGGACAAGCACCGGTCCTGGTCCTGAGGATGCGGACGGGAGCTCCAGTGGGGAGGAGGAGGAGGAGGAGGAGGAGGAGCAGGAGGAGGGGGGAGGAGGAGGAGGAGAGGAGGAGGAGAGGAGGAGGAGGAGGAGCAGGAGGAGGAAGAGGAGGAGGAGGAGGACGAGGAGGAGGAAGAGGAGGAGGAGGAGGAGGAGGAGGACGAGGAGGAGGTCGTGGAACGAACAACATATGCACGGCGACGAGAGCTTGGGCATGGGAGGGGAGCAGGTCGCGGCGCCCAGAATTCAGACCGCGACGTCGGGAAGCACATCTGCTGTGTCGGAAGCCGGGGTCGCTCCGCCGGAAGGCCAGTCTCGCCCCCAGGAGGAGGAGGAATAAAAGGAGCAGGAGGAGGAGGAGGAGGAGGAGGAGGAGGAGGAGGAGGAGGAGGAGGAGGAGGAGGAGGAGGGAGGAGGGAGGTGGAGGAGGAGGAGGAGGGAGGAGGAGGAAGGGGAGGAGGAGGAGGAGGAGGAGGAGGAGGAGGAGGAGGAGGAGGAGGAGGAGGAGAGGAGGAGGAGGAGGAGGAGGAGGAGGAGGAGGAGGAGGAGGAGGAGGAATGGGGGGGCCACGAGGCGCCAGGCTCCGTCTCCGCCCCTGCGCGCCTCGGCTCCCGCCCCCGCCCGCGCCTCCGCCCAGGCCCGGCTGCCCTGCCTCCAAGCTGCCCGGCCCGTCTGCGGGCACCTGCCTGTCGGCCTGCGTCCGTCCCGGGGTCCTCACACGCCTTCCTTTCAATGCTGGCCGTCTGTGCTTGCATCCCTCCTCCTCCTCCTCCTCCTCCTCCTCCTCCTCCTCCTCCTCCTGCCCATCCCAGTCCCACACAGCCGACGGATGTCGTGTCGTGTCTGCTCCGTTGGTAGCCCCATCTTCTGTCAGATGGCATGGTCCCGTCTTGTCCTGGGCCATGCGCTCTTGCATATAGAGGATCGCCGCAGCGGCCCCGGCGAAACGCTATGCCTTGCGATTGGATAGCGTGTGTCGCTCCGCTCCGCGGGGCGGGAGGCTCGGAAAGGCTCTGGACGTTGAAGCCTGAGGATGGGGAAGTGGATAGTGCGTCGCGCCAAGGCGCGGTGGGCCCGAGCTCGCGAAGCGACACGCTATCCAAAAGTTCCTGACCGTAGTGCGTAACATCATACGCTGGAGGCCAATCCACAAGAAACCTTCCACAAGAAACCCAACCCTGAGACCCCAGGACGTCCATGGATTTTTGGTGCGGGGTCTTCGCGCTCTCCACAGAAAACTATCGAAACCCAAGAGACCCAGGGCACCCTGGAGGCAAACAGGGTATTTCTTGGCATGGGTCCCCACCGTAGTGTGTCACGCCAAGACGCGGTGGGCCCGAACTCGCGAAACGACACGTTATCCAACAGTTCCTGGCCGTGGTGCATAACATCATGTTTGCCTGGTTTGGACGCAATCTATGTTCCGGCCCTCCTCATGGGGGGCCACCAGGCTCCGGGGCTTGGGTTTTTTGCTCCCTGCCCCAATTCAAATGTTTCAAGTCTCCCATGCTGTAGCCCTACTTTCAAGCCGGGCGTGTCCTCCTACATGCGGTTTATGGACGAAACACAACACATGACAAACAAAAATGCTCAAACATTGCCAAAAAATAGTCGACAAATCGTCCCTGGACTATTTCTTGACAATTTTTGAATAGTCCTCGTGTAGAGGGAGGGACATGCCCGACTGAACCCTACTTCCTACTTCCAAGCGTGAACTGTTGAAGTCCGCGCGAGAGGGGGCAGCCCCGAGTCGTCCAATGTTCACCACGCCCAGAGCGCGTTGGCTGCCTTCCTGCTGGGCCGTGGGGCACGAAGGAGATGCTTGAGATTCGCGCCCCCGAGAAGCATGCATCCCTTGTGAATTATGCAATATTCGCGCCCAACAAGCCACGATCCCCGGCAAATTGCAGAAGTGGTCGCGTCCCCGAGGGCACATCCCTCGTCAACTACGCCGAATGTGCGACCTCGAAGCCATAACCCCAAGTAGCGTATGCAAGACTCTCGTGCTGGAGGCCATAAGCCTTTGTAAAGCATGCCATGTCTGCGTCCCAGAGGCAACGACCCTCTGCAACTGATCCCAGAATCGCATCCCCGAGGCCACGGGCCTTGGTAAAGTATGCCATGTTCGAGTCGCCGAGGCCACGATCCCAGGTACAGTAAACCAACTTCGCGCCCACGAGGCCACGATCCCTCGCGAATTACACCTTACTTGCGTCGTCCTCAAAGTCATCACCCGTCGTAAATCACATAAGATTCGCGTCCTCGAGGCCAGACGCCGCGATCCGATGAAAAATTACGCAGCGCTCGCGTCCCCGAGGCTACGTCTCCCGAACATTACATGACATTCGCGTTCCCGAAGCCACGATCCTTTGTGAAGAAAATCCTGAAGGCCTCGCGCGGCAACTTTAGACCCGATTTACGTCGGATTCGCGTCGGATCTACGTCGGGTTCACAACGGGCTACGCAGGATTTACGTCGGACTGACTCTGAAGCAGCGCCGCGCGAGCGTCGACCCATAGCTTCGGGAACTGACAAGTGGACTAGATCAGACTACTATTACGCGCCGCGCGAGGCCTCCAGGACGTTCCTCCTGAGATCCTTTGCACATTCAACGATATTCGAGTCCGCGAAGCCACGGTCCAGATTCAATCATACAATGTTCGCGTCCCCGAGGCCACGATCCCCTGCAAATGATGCAGCATTCGCGTCCTCGAGGTCGAAAGCCTTCGCACGTCATACTATATTTGCGTCTCCGACGCCACGATCCGTCGTACATTGCGAGACGTTCGCGTCCTCGAGGCCACGGTCCTTTCATAAACTGCACTGCGCTGGCGTCCCCGAGGCGGCGATCCTAGTTTTCTATAATTTTGCTGTGCACGGTCTTCGCCTGAAGTTTCGACACGTCTTCACGCCGGCGACCTCGCACCTCAGCTTAGCTCTGGCATGCCCCATTCGACAAGGAGAGGGAGCCGGCGGCAATGGACGAAGCCCTTACGGATGATATCTGGCACCAGGAATCGGGCGTTGGCAGAACTGGGTTTAGTTGCGCCTGGTTTAGTGATTTGTACCGGGGGCGCCCCCCCGTCCCATTTCCACTAACCGGAACTGCCGTCACCCGAAAAACACCAGCGACGGCAAACCTGGTTTAGTGAATCTGGCCAATCGAAGGGCCCCAGGGCCCTACCACTGACCGGGTCCCCTTACCCGGGGCCCTGCCTATACCCGAAGGAAGCTGGAACCGCACGTGGTCGGACTCTCATGCGGAACATTTTTTGAGGCCACCTGCCGGATGCACCTGTGGCAGGCCGTCGCAGGACCGAGCGGTGGAAATACACCTTGCCTCATGTGTATCTGACTCCTCCTCCTCCTCCTCCTCCTCCTCCTCCTCCTCCTTCTCCCCCTCCCTCCTCCTCCTCCTCCTCCTCCCTCCTCCTCCTCCTCCTCCTCCTCCTCCTCCTCCTCCGCCTCCTCCTCCTCCCCCTCATGCGTATCCAGCAACCTGGTGCTGTGCCGCAGCCAAAGATCGCTCAATGTTTGACACGCCGGCGCAGCATGGATCGGAGGTGCCCCGTTGAGCGCGCGGATCCTGGCACACTGTGACGGGAGCGGAGCTGTGCCAGCGGGGGGCGGGCACCCTCGGGCTTGTACCTCCAATAAAATGTTATAGGGCTACACGGGGAGGCGGTTCGAAAACGGCGAACCGCGTGGAGCTTCCTCCCCAAAAACGTTGGAAGCAGAATCGAAAGCCGGTTCGAAACGATAGGAGCCGGTTCGAAAACAGTAGGGAAGTGAGCGTTTCGCGCGGGAGGTCCTCGGGAAGCAGGGTCGAACCAGGTTCGACCTCGGTTGGAAACATCAGAAAAGGGAGCATTTCGTGCGGGACTTCTTCGAACGAACCTAGTTCGAACTCGGTTCGAAACAATAGAAAAGTGAGCGTCTCGTGCGGGACTTCCTCTGGAAAAGGGTTCGACCCAGGTTCGAACACGGTGCGCTGCGTTTCGTGCGGGACTTCTTCGGAAAGCAGGTTCGAACCTAGTTCGAACTCGGTTCGAAACAACAGAAAAGTGAGCGTTTCTTGCGGGACTTCCTCTGGAATCAGGTTCGACCCAGGTTCGAACACGGTGCGCTGCGTTTCATGGGGGACTTCCTCGGACAGCAGGTTCGAACCAGGTTCGAACTCGGTTCGAAACAAGAGAGAAGTGAGCGTGTCGTGCGGGGCTTCCTCGAAGAGCATGTTCGAACCAGGTTCGAACTCGGTTCGAAACTAGACAAGTGAGCGTTCCGTGCTGGACTTCCTCTGGAACCAGGTTTGAACCAGGTTGGAACTCGGTGCGCTGCTGTGTTTAAGTGGGTGATGAGTATGTGTTGCTGCCCCCGTTGGGACCACAACATGGCGTTCTCAGGATGGTCTGGTGTTCGTCTGCATCTTGCGACACTCCATTGCATCGTGGCCAAGCGCCCCGCGGTGGCGAAATTGGGCCAACATGTGAACCACGCCCATGTCTCGCTAGCTTTCTCATCTCGAAGCTTCTCATCTGACCATGTCCGCTCGCTGGTTTGAGGCCCCGCGGGCCTTGCCCTTCTCTCCGACCAAGACCGCCCAGCGCCCGGTCTTGCCCATGGCCCTCGGGATGGCGCGGGTGGGATCCGAGAGCAGCGGAAACGTGAAGCCGAACTTCTTCGAGAACGCCCGGTTCTCCTCTGGCGTGTCCTGGGCGCAACCAGCAAGCGCGCCGCAACATCGGGAAACTTCTGGCGTCGAGTGCGGAGGGATCAAGGCGATACTGATACTGAACAGATCCTGCATCCACAGTCCCTCCTCCTGCTCCGCCTCCGATTCTTCATCATCCTCCCTTCTCTCTCGTTGCACCCCCTCCATCGCCCTCCGCCACGCCCTCCTGGCCCACTGGCCCAACAAAAACGATCACTTCCAAGAACATAAGCGGATCAGGAGGAGGGCGGAAGGAAGAGGTGGAGGAGGAGGAGAGAGAAGGTTCCCCCAGAGCCCTCTTCCAGCCACCAGGTGCCCAACCATGGTGAACAACATCCAATACTATCGAGCATAGACTGCACCGGAAGCGGAGCAGGGAAGCAAATCCCGTGGGGAGGCCTTTTAGAGGCCTCCGGAGCCCCAAACCACTCACTTCAAATGTTTCAGAAACGTCCACCCTCGACCCTCGATCAAGGCAGATCAGGGGGAAGGAGGGAGGAGACGGAGAGGGCGGAGAAGGAGACGAACGCAGAGACGTGGGAGGGGGGGTGGATGAGGTGGTGGAGGAGGAGGAGGAGGAGGAGGAGGAGGAGGAGGGGGAGGGGGAGGGGGAGGAGGACAAGCTAGGTGCGCTCGCGTCATATCTGACGTCCTACCCTCCCTCCCATCCCTTACCATGGCGCTGATTTTCTCTATCCGCGGACGCGTGTCGTAGCGGACCTGTGGCTCCGCGCGCGCGTGCGTAGTGGGTGGTGGTGCACGTGCGTGCGTGCGTGCGTGTGTGCGTGGTTGTCGTGGTGGTGGTGGTGGTGGTGGTGGTAGTGGTGGTGGTGGTGGTGGTGGAGGAGGAGGAGGATCCGTGGCGGTAGGGCCTGCTCCGTGCGCGGAGGGGAGGCGCCAGCACCCGGTCAGAGCGCGCAGGGACTGCTGCGCAAGAGGAGGAGGAGGCGGAGGAGAGGAGAGGGGATGGGAGGAGAGGAGAGGGGAGGAGTGCGGAGGGGAGGAGATGAGAGGAAATGAGAGGCGAGGAGAGGAGAGGAGAGGATGAGGAGGATGAGGATGAGGATGAGGATGAGGATGAGGATGAGGATGAGGATGAGGAGGATGATGATGATGATGATGATGATGATGATGATGATGAGGGTAGTGATGATGGTGCTGATGAAAATGATAATAATGGTAAAGATGATTCTGCTGATGATTACGATGCTGATGCTGCTGATGATGATTGTGATGATGATAATGATGATCGTGATGGTGGTGGTGCTGATGCTACTGTCAATGCTAATGCTGATGCTGGTAACGATGGTGATGATGATGGTTATGCTGATGGTGGTGATGAGGATAAGGATGGTGATGATGATGATGGTGATGGTGGTGATGGTAATGGTAGTGGTGATGGTGATGCTGACGATGACGACGATGATGATGATGATGCTGATGCTGATGATTCTGACGATGATGCTGATGATGACGGTGTTGTTAATCGTTATGGTGATGATGGTGATGGTGCTGCTGCTGCTGCTGCTGATGATGATGATGATGATGATGATGATGATGATGATGATGATGATGATGATGGTAGTGGTGAGGAGGAGGAGGTAGGAAGGAAGGCCGTCTGCGAGAACTCTGTCCCTCGTACTCGACCCCAGCGCCGCGCCCCGCATGCGCGACCGCGCTCTGGGGGGCGGGCCTTAGCGCGCCGCCACGCCATCGGAAGCGGGCGTCGCGCGCACCACGAGAAACTGATCAACCGCGAGTGCTACGGTTGTGGATGCCATGGCAGTGGGCACCCTAACCGTTCTACCGTTGAATTAAACATGTCCTTCAGATGTCTTCTACATGCTTGAGAACTGCCCAAGAAATTGTAAGACATGCTCCAGTAGCTTGAAGACATGATTGAAATGTGCTTTAGACATCTGGGAACTATTTGGCAACATGCCTCCTCTCCATTGATCGTCTTCCACAATGCGACAGCTACGAGATCTGCCCACCCTGGTGGAGACCCACATGCAAGCACGCCGATACCATACACGCACAGAGGAGTACGGGCGCGAGCGGACGCGGCCCCAAAAACGAGCGATGTACAACGTCAGAAATGGGATGCAACCTCGATCCGACGATCTCATCATCAGTGCCACGGCCACCCTCGCGAGGGCGTCCAGATACGACACCAAATACGACACAGAGCACGACACCACACAGAGAACATCGGCTCGGAGACACTGGTGGACCACGGCTGCGCCGCTTACGCCGACCAGGACTACGACCAATACCCCCAACACGACCACCCGTACGACCAGCCGTACGTGGTCGACGACCGCCTGCAGGGCAACGAGAGTCACCAGCTGAGCTACGAGTGCCACCAGCCGGGCTGCGAGGCCCGCTGTCGGAGCCACGAGGGCCACGGGCAGTTCTCCGGGAGCTGCCGGCAGGGCCACGGGCACAACTGCGAGACCCATCAGCTGAGCTACGAGGGCCGCCCGCGAATCTGCGAGGACCACGTCTTGCGGTGCGAGGGCCTGCGCCTCACCCTGCCCCCCACGGGCGCCTCAACCCGAGGTAGACCCGGGCACAAGCCCGAAAAACACACATCAAGATGGGAGAGAGCGTGATCCACCGCCGCTTTACTGCGGAAAATTGCCAGCCTTTTCCTCCGGAACCCGGGGGTCGCCCCCACCCCCCCCCTCCGAAAATCCCCCCCCCCCCCCCTGCTGGAACCCCCCTCCCCCCCCCCCCCCCCCCCCCTCTCCCGGCAAAAACCTCCCTCCCCTAACCCCTCCCCCCCCCCCCAATCCTCTCTCGAAAACCGGGGGGGGGTCACTACCGGTTCGAACCCCCCCTCCCCCCCCCAGAAAACCGAGGGGGTCACTACGGGTTCGAACCCCTCCCCCCTCGAGAACCGGAGGAGGGTCACTACCGGTTCGAAGCCCCTCCTCCCCACGCACCGCCAGCAAACGACTCCCGGTCCCTACCACCGTCCGCATCACATCCCCCACTGTTGTTCCCAGCACCACTGTCCTCACCACCACTGTCCCCACTGGTTCCACCACCGTCCCTACTGTCCCCACCAGTGCCCCCACCACTGTCGCACTCCCCACTGTCCCCACCACTGTTCCCACCACTGTTCCCACCACGGTTCCACTCTCCCCACTGTCTCCACGGACCCAACCACTGCCCGACTATCCCCACTGTCCCCACTGTCCCACTGACTCCTCCGCTGTCCCACTGAGCTGTCCCACTGTTCCCACCACTGTCCCCACTGTCCCCACCACTGTCCCCACTGTACCTCTGTCCCATTGTCCCACCACCGTCCTCCCCACCGCCTTCACCACTGTCCCCACCACCATTGTACCCTCCTCTGTCCCACTGTTTCCACCTCATTCCCACTGTCCCCACACCACTGTCCCCACAACCACCGTCCCCACCACTGTCCACTGTCCCCCCCGTTCCCACCATTGTCCCCGCCACTGTCCCCACCACTACCGTCCCCACCACTGTCCCACTGTCCCACTGTCCCCACCACTGTCCCGCTGTCCCCTCGCCACTGTCCCCACCAACACCGTCCCCACCACTGTCCGCACCCCCACTCGGTTTTTCGAGGGGGGGGGGGAGGGGGTTCGAACCGGTAGTGACCCCCCCCGGTTTTCGAGGGGGGGGGGGTTCGAACCGGTAGTGACCCCCCCCCCCTTTTCATGATGAGCTGGGGGAGGGGGGGGGGAGGGGTTTCGAACCGGTAGTGACCCCCCCGGTTTTCCCAACGGGGGGGGGGGGGAGGGGTTCGAACCGGTAGTTACCCCCCCTGGTTTTCCGCCAGCAGCGGTAGAACACGCTCTTTCCAAGATGGGCATCCCCCCCCACGCGGCGGCACCCCGCACCTGGCGTTGCGGGCTGCGTCGCCAAGGATCCCCCCCCATCGTCGCCACGGCTGGACTCGACCGAACTACGAGGGCCACCAACTGAACCTCAAGGACCAACAGGGCTACGACCGCAAGAGGCGGAGCTTAGAGGGGCACCAGCTCAGCTTCACGAGCCACAGGCTGAGCGTGGCGAAGCGATTCTGAGTTGGGTCAGGCCAGCGAGACGAACACCCAAGCCAACGGAAAACCCAGACAACCAAAGAGACGTTTGCCATCGGCGACGCAATACAGGGCCGGCTCGGCAAGACGTGCCACGATTACGTCGCGGAGAAGCTGGACGAGGCGTCCGCCACGGCCCGCCCACGGCCCGCTGGTTGGATGGCACTACGTGCCTGCTCGAACGCGCGGCACTCCGTAGGTCGCAATAGTTACGGTGAGACCGGCCTAATTACAAGAAGCCGCTGATTATGGTCGTCCAGCATACAACATCTCTAATGCATGGCGATCGTGCTCGCTCCACAACGCTACGGACAAGGGTACTTCGTGCACATCGATACACACAAAATGCCACGTCCAAAACACTCGCGCGCTATCGAGAAGATACCCGGGCACTTCGCCCACGTTTATACCGACAAGGTACGCCATGCACAGCGCTACAGGCAAGGTGCTACGTCATCGGCAGCCGCTACGACATCCCTTCAGTGGCCCCGCCGCTCTGCCCCTCCTCTTCCTTCGGCGCCCTCGAGATGTTGACGAACGAGCGCTGGTCCTCGGCCTCCCTCCCCCACTCCTCCGGAAACGACCTCCGCCGGCGTGCGCGGGGTCCCGGAGCGGCGCGCGCGGGCCCACGGGGCATGCGGCGGCGCGGCTACGGATTGGGTGACGCGTTCAGCGGCTGCGGAAAGAGAGAGAGAGAGAGAGAGAGGAGGAGGAGGAGGAGGAGGAGGAGGAGGAGGAGGAGGAGGAGGAGGAGGAGGAGGAGGAGGAGGAGGAGGAGGAGGAGGAGGAAAAGAGGAGAGAGAGAGAGGAGGAGCTGGAGGAGGAGGAGGCGGACGAGGAGGATGAGTTGGAGGAGGAGCTGGAGGACTTTCCAAAGGACTTTCCCAGGAGAGGAGGAGGAGGAGGAGGAGGAGGAGGAGGAGGAGGAGGAGGAGTGAGGAAGAGTGAGGAGAGACGAGGATGAGGAGGACCAAGTCCAGCGCCGTCTCCGCAGTGTTGTCGTTCCCCTCTTGTCTCCTCCACCCTACGCAGGTTTACTTGAATTTGAACCCTATTTTCCGCCCTCCTCCCTCCCCGGCGAAGGCCGGGAAGGAGGGAGGGCGTGCCGAGGGCTTCGCTACATTGGAGGGCACAGTCAGCACCCTGAAGGCCTGAAGGAGGAGGAGGAGGAGGAGGAGGAGGAGGAGGAGGAGGAGGAGGAGGAGGGGAGGGAGGAGGATCAGGAGGACCAGGTCGGGAATTCAAGCACTCGTTGGACCTCTCTGCGGCGGAGAGCACCCAGCCTGCCCAACCATTGACGATGAATCCTGTGGGTGACACCACGCCGGGCCAGTGGGAGGGGGTCCCCCTCCTGTGGGTGACCAGCCATTCACGATGAATCCTGTGGGGGGGGGGGTCCCCCTCCTGCCCGCCGCAGGAGGGGGATCCCCCCAGCTCCCCCAGAGAGCCGAAGTCGCACCCCATCGGGTACGCCGAAGAAGGGGGCCAGCAGCAGGGGGGGTGCATCGCAGGTACATCGTGGCTCGAGATAAGTGCGCGGACGAGGGTGGGCCAGGGGGCGAAGGGCATGACATCCAGAAAGTGTCATTGCCCCGGCCATCCGCATTAAACCTACAGCCGAACCGGTGATCGAGACAATTATAGAGTAAGACAGGGCCAGCTTCCCCGAGGGTTCTCGAAACAAACTGGGCAAATATTTCGGTTGTGAACGCTCTGTTCGAGAAACTGGGCTATAGCCTGTCGGAAAGCTGGTGTTGAGAAAAGCTGGCCCCACTTTTCGGGAAAGGCTTCTAAACCAGACGCCCGAGTGCAACTCGAGACTAGGACCTCAGCATTAGGTCGGGCATGTCCTCCGACAGGCGGACTTTAGAGGAAAACTGAAAGATAGTCAGAACATATTCAAAAATAGTCAAAGCAATCAACAAATCGTCCCCAGACTATTTTTTGACTATTTCTGAATTCTCCTCCTGTAGAGGGGCACGCCCGACTTCAGCTCACCACCCACCTGTCTGCGGCATCTCTCGCGGGCGGCATCGATCCGTCGTGGGGGCCCCGGCGCCAACAAGAACTCTTGGCCCAGGGCCCCTACAGTGGAGGCCAGTCCACAAGAAACCTTCCACAAGAAGCCCAACCCAGAGACCCCAGGATGTCCATGGATGTTTTGGTGTGGGAACATCACGCTTTCCATCGCAAAGCCATCGAAAGACCCAAGAAACCCAGGGTATCCTGGATGCAAGCAGAGTGCTTCTTGGCATGGGTCCCCACTGTAACTTAAGCCAGGGACTCTAGTACAAGCCAGGGCAAGCGGGCGCGCCCGAGGAAACACCTGCAGCCGCGGGCCGCCAGAGCTTTCTCCAATATTCCTTCTCTCTAGGTGGAACTCCTCCTCCGCCTCATCCTCCTCCTCTTCCGCCTTCTCCTCCTCTTCCGCCTCCTCCTCCTCCTCCTCCTCCCCCTACTCCCCCCCCCTCCTCCTCCCCCTCCTCCTCCTCCTCCTCCTCCTCCTACTCCTCCTACTCCTTCTCTTCCTCCTCCTCCTCCTCCTATTCCGATTCTTCTCCTCCTCCTCTACTCGAAAGGCTGGTAGATAATGTCCTGGTTTAAGGGGAGCCCTCCATGGCAAGAAGGACACGGGTCCCCGATCCTTGGGCTTCTCTCCCTGGGGCCAACTCTCTTGCATCCCGTGCCGTCTACTTATCAATGGGCCCGGGGCCCCGGGAGGACCCCGGGAGGACCCGAGAAGGGCTACACCACTCAGGACCCGTTTCCCTGGTGGGGGTCCCACAACGGTGCGACGACAGGCCGTGCGGTGCCCTCGGAATTCCTGGATACCTCACTGCACGGCGCGTCGCCGCTCCGTGCTGGGACCCTGCCCCCGGACGTCTCTGGAGCACGACCCGAGTCCCCCGACCACGCTGTCACCCGGAGCAGGTCGAGCTGAGATCACGGCAGCTCAGACTGGGGCGTTACGGGCCCCTTGGGCCCCGCACGGGGTCCACGCGAGCCAGTGTTCCGAGCTGCGTCCAGCAGCGGCGACGAGGGCCCCCCGCCCCCCGAAGGACAACTACTGCTTCCCGAGCTCGCCCTCCTCTGAGTCGCCCTGGATCCCCACTGACTCCCACACGGTGTGGTCACCGTGCCGCTCGGGGGCCCCCGGGCGAAACCAGGCGCGACGAGTGCGATGGCCGGGCCTCTCAGGACGCGAGCGTCTTCTTGTTCGGCGTTTCGACACTGGGCAGAAGGGGGGGGGGGGTCTGGCTCTGGACCTCTGCATACTGCGACTGTTTGGAGCAGTGCGTCCTATCGGGGAGGCTCCACCTGCTCGAAGCAGGCGCCAACAAAGCAGCCAAGACCCACTCCAGGGACGGGGGGAATGTGGGGGGGGGTGCGAGGGCCCGCGCCGACCAGCAAAACAATGAACAAGAAACCGATCGCGATCTGGAGGCGGCCCGCTCGCGCGCGCGCGCGAGCGGCGCTCCGCCGAGGCGCCCAGGATCTGCACCCCGAGCTTCTGGTACTCCTCTCGGGGAGGGGCGGGCCGCCAGAGCGGAGGCAGGAGGGTGAGCGAGAAGCGGCGGGCCCATGCCCTCAGGTCGGGCATGTCACCCTACAGGCGGATATCTTGTAAGGAAAATGAGAAGTAGTCAAACAATGTACAAACATGACATCCCCAGTCAAATGTTTCACTATTTTTGAACATGCCTCCTGTAGAGGGACGTGCCCGACTTAAGTGTAGGGGCCGCGCGTACTCGCGTGCCTGGGGCACTCGGGAGCATCATCGTCCGCTGTCTCTCCGCGCGCGCTCTGTACCTTGTCGTTCCCTCGTCGCCGCCGTCCTCCTTCTCCTCTTCTTCCTCCCCTTCCCTTTCCTTTCCCTCTCCTCCTCTGGCTTTTGGTTCCTCCTCCACCGGTTGTGAATTATCCTTTTTCCTTCCTCGGTCTTCCGCTCCCTTCTCGTCCTCCTTAATTTGTGTTCCCTCTCTCCCTCCCTCTGCGTTTTTCTCCTCGTCCTCTTCATTCCACTCCTCCCGTACTCTTACTGTTCCCACCCGCCCGTCATCCTCCTCCACCAGGGTATCTTCCTCCCTCAGCCCTGAATTCAAACCTGGTCGTCACTAAGAGTCCCCTCTTGCGCCTCCTGCTCCTCTCTAGCTCCTCTAGCTGCCGCAGCTGTTGCCCCCCTTATCACCATAATCATCACCACCATCATCATCATCATCATCATCATCATCATCACTTGATCATCATCATCATCATCATCATCATCATCCACCTCATCATCATCATCATCATCATCATCGTCGTCACCATCATCAGCAGCAGCATCATCATCGTCATCAGCATTATCCGTGTCCTCAGAGAGAGAGAGAGAGAGAGAGAGAGAGCGTAATCCACCGCTGCTTTACTGTGGAAAACTCCACCCTCTTCCTCTGGAGCCCGGGGGTCCCCGCCCCCCCAGAAAATACCGCCCCTGCTGGACCCCCCCCCCCCTTCCCCCCGGCAAAACCCCCCCCCCTCTCCTAACACCCCCCCTCCCCAGAAAACCGGGGGGGGGGTCACTACCTGTTCGACCCCCCCCGCCCCCCAGAAAACCAGAGAGGTCCAGCAAACAACTCTGGGTCCCTACCACTGTCCGCACCGCACCACATTCCCAACTGCTGTCCCCAGCACCACTGTCCTCACCACCACTGTCCCCACTATTCCCACCACCACCACCGTCACCACTGTCCTCAACAGTGCCCCCACCACTGTCGCACTGTCCCCACTGTCCCCACCACTCTTCCTACCACGGTTCCACTCCCCACTTTCTCCACGGCCCCAACCACTGTCCCACTGTCCCCACTGTCCCACTGTCCCCACTGTCCCACTGTCCCCGCCGCTGTCCCACTGAGCTGTCCAACTGTTCCCACCATTGTCCCCTCTGTCCCCACCACTGTCCTTACTGCACCTCTGTTCCACTATCCCACCGCAGTCCTCGCCACCGCCCTCACCACTGTCGCCACCACCACTGTACCTTCCACTGCCCCACTGTTTCCACCACGTTCCCACTGTCCCCACACCACTGTCCCCACCACCCACCACCGTCCCCACCACTGTCCCACTGTCCCCTTTGTTCCCGCTGTCCCCACCACTGTCCCTACTGTACCTCTGTCCCATTATCCCACCGCCGTCCTCGCCCTCGCCACCGCCCTCACCACTGTCGCCACCACCACTGTACCCTCCACTGTCCCACTGTTTCCACCACCTTCCCACTGTCCCCATGCCACTGTCCCCACCACCACCGTCCCCACCACTGTCCCACTGTCCCCGCTGTTCCCACCAGTGCCCCCGCCAGTGTCTCACTGTCCCCACTCCCCCCGCCATTGTCCCACCACAATCCCACTCTCCCCACTTTCCCCACGGTCCCCACCAGTCCAACTGTCCCCACTGTTCCCACCACTGTCCCACTGTCTCCGCCGCTGTCCCACTGTGCTGTCCCGCCGTCCCCACTGCCCCCATCACTGTCCCACTGTCCCCGATGTCCCCACCACTTTCCCCACTGTCCCACCACTGTCCGCACCGCCGCCTTCACCCCTGTCCCCACCACTACCGCCCCCACCACTGTCCCACTGTCCCCACCACTGTCCCGCTGTCCCCTCACCAATGTCCCCACTACAACCGTCCCCACCACTGTCCGCACCACTGTCCCACTGTCCCCGCACCACTGTCCCCGCCACCACCGTTCCCACCACTGTCCCAACATCCCCATTATTCTCCAACTGTCCCGAGGAGCGGGCGTCGTTTGCCGGCGGCGAGGGGGGGGGGGGGTTCGAACCGGTAGTGATCTCCCCCGGTTTGCGAGGAGGGGGGGGGGGGTTCGAACCGGTAGTGACCCCCCCCACCAAATTTTCGAGGGGGGGGGAGGGGTTCGAACCGGATGTGACCCCCCCCTTTACCGGGAAAAACATTTAAGAACCCCCCCCCCCCCCTTCCGGCGAAGCGATAACCCTGCGCACCCTGGCAGCGTTATCCTGGCACTGGGAGGGGGGCGGATCCTACGGGCCCCGCGGGTCTCGCAGGGGGGGGGTTCTTAATCGCTTCTCACGGTCAGCACACACACACACACTTTTCCCTCGGCGGCGAAGTGAGCTCACTGTCGCGAAATGATGCGTGGGCGGGCGCATTGAATTGCCTTCCTGCGTTGAGGAGGCCCCAGGACGAAGCTCAGACGGCCAGCGCCGAAGCAGGTTCGTGGCTGTACAAGCGCGCGGGCGAAAGCCGGAAAAGGTGGGCGCGGGTGCAGAAGCGGGGTGAGCAGAGGTCCGGACAGCCAAGCAGACACACACACACGCACACACGCACACACGCGCACGCACACACACACACACACACACACACACTCTGAGGACGAGGACGAGGGCGAGGACGAGCACGAGGGCGAGGACGAGGGCGAGGACGACGACGACGACGACGACGACGACGACGACGACGACGACGACGGCGAGGGCGACGGCGACGGCGACGGCGACGGCGACGGCGGCGAGGGCGACGGCGACGGCGCAGCACTCTCGGCTCAGTCTTGCTTCAGGCTTCGACTCTCAGCCGACGGCTTCTCTCGACCTTCAGGCCCAGCCATGCAGGCCACGTCAGTCGCGGTCGCGGTGGCGGTGGCGCTCGCGGCGTCGACCGTGGCGGTTCAGCCACAGGTCGATGTCGTCTTTTCCTCCTTCCTTCCTTCTCCGTCGTCTTCTCCTCCTCCTACATCAGACATCCTCCCTAGCTCAGGTCAGCGAGTTCCTCTTCCCCGTCACGCGTATCCTGCTCCACGGGTCCCTCATCCACAAGGTCAGGCAGCTCTTCAGCGCCGTCGACAGCATGTGGTACATCGGCGACAACATCAGCCTGAGGTGCAGCTTCATAGAGCGTCGCCTCATGTGCCTGGAGTTCAGCCCATGGGAAACTCAGCGTCAGATCGCGGCAGCGATCCAGGAGTGGGACATGAATCAGGATCCGCTTTACGGAGCCCGGCAAGCATTTCAGCATCTCGGTCGCTACTCCAGGAACTTCCTGCAGCGCACGCTTCAGGCGCCGTCCGCCCTCCAGTTGTCCACCAGCGCGAACAAAGCGATTCAGGAGTCAGGCGAGGACGCCGCAGGCCCGAAAATCACAGCGCTGACGCAGGGGCTCAGGCAGCACTGGGCCGTTCAGTTCCACGGCCAGGGCGACGGGCACGAGCCTACAGCGACAGTCGCCTCCCACATCGGTCAGCTGACTCAGCACGAGCTCGTCGACTTTTACGGCTTTCACTAGTCGTCAGGACGTGAGCCTCACGAGTGAGGAGCAGGGAACCGCTGGGACTCAGGAGTTAGGGAGCCCTCAGTAGGGAGCCCTCTCTTCACCTCTCCTCTCTTCCTCCCTACACTCTCCTCTCTTCCTCTCTCCTCTCTTCCTCCCTACGCTTTCCTCCTCTCTTCCTCTTTACGCTCCCTCTTTAGTTTTCCGCAGCTTTCCTCAGCTTTTCCTTAGTTGTCCTCAGCTTTTCCTTAGTTGTCTTCAGCTTTTCCTTCGTTGTCTTAGCTTCCCTCAGCTTTGCTTCAGCTTTTCATCATATTGGCCTTATCGTTTCCTCAGCTTTTCCTCAGCGTTTCCTTAGCTGTTCCGCAGGTTTTCTGTAGGTTGTCTTATATTTTCCTTAGGTTGTCTCAGTTTTCCCTTAGTTTGCCTTAGCTTTTCCTTACGTTTAAAATGTTTCTTCAGCGTTCTTAAGTTTTCTCAGCTGTTCGTCAGTTGTTTAGCTTTTCTTAAGTTTTCTCAGCTTTTCGCCACTTGTTTTAGCTTGTCTTTAGAACTTTCAGCTTCTCCTTAGGTTTCTTCAGCTTTTCCTTAGTTTTCATCAGTTTCTCCAGAAACTTAAATCAATTTCCTGTAACTCTCCGCGGTGTCCATAGCTTTTCTATAGTTTTCCGTAGCTTTCCTTAGCTTCTCTTCAGCTTTTTGATTTTTTCCTTAGCTTTGCATCAGCTTTCCTCAGCTCTTCCTCCGCTTTTCCTTTGGTTTTCTATAGCTTGTCCTTAGGTTTTTATGTGTGCCTCAAGTTTCCTCGGTTTTTCATTACTCTTTAAGCTTTTTTTAGTTTTCGTAGCTTTTCGCAGCTTTTTCGTTAGTTGTTCAGCCTTCCCTTTGCTCTTTCAGCTTTCCCTTAGTTTTCTTCAGCTTTTCCTTAGTTTCCCCCAGCTCTTTCGACAACTCCTCCTTATTTCTCTTCAGCTGTTCCTTAGTTTTCCTAGCTTTTCTTTAGTTTTCCACAGGTTTCCTTGGCTTTTCCTCAGCTTCTCCTCAGATCTTCCTTAGCTTTTCCTCAGCTTTTCTTTGGCTTTTCCTCAGCTTTTTCGCAGCTTGTCCTAAGGTTGTCCTCGGCTTTTCTTTAGGTTTTCTCAGCTTTCCTTTAGTTTTCTTCATTGATGCTTACTTTTTAATCGTTTTGTCGTATTCCTAGCTTTTCAGCTTTTTCTTAGTTGTTCCATTGGTTTTTCTTGGCTCTCTCAGCCTCCTCCATCGCATCCCTCCTCCTCATCATCATCCTCCTTCCTTCTTCTCCTCTCTCTCTTTCTCTCCCTCCCTCCCTCCCCCTCTCTCTCTCTCTGTCCCTCTCCCTCTCCCTCTCCCTCTCTCTTTCCTTCTCCCCGCCTTCAGTTCCAGCGCGGTTCCAGATTTTTCAGAGGGGCTCTCAGTGCTCGCGTTTTGATCGAGACTGTCGTCCTTCTCAGTGCTCTCAGTGCTCGCATTTTAACCACCTTCTCAGCTATGTCAGCGACCGAGGCACCCGGAGATCAGGCGCCGAGCGCAGGCGCCGCCAAGAAATGTCTGAGGTTGCTTCTTTCTTTCAGTCAGTCCGATTCAGTTGTCTCACATTCAATGGCGCTGCCGCGCGACTCCGCCACCGCGCTCGGGCGGGCGACCGGGGGGAGGGGCTGGGGCGTCCCATTGTTGCTTGGACGCAACAAGGGGGGGCCCTAATTATTGTTTCGCAAGGAGCGAAAGAATCCGACACGCACCAAGGACATCTTTGCAAATTCTAACGCTTCGCGTGATCCCCACTGGCCCATCCAGAATCTACCCGAATGAGGAGGGAAATCAACTGTTCTCAGTTGTTCCATAGGTTTTCTCAGTTGTTCTCAGCTTTTTCATAAGTTCCCTTTCGGTTTTTCTTAGTTTTCCATCGGTTTTCTCCGGTTTCCATTCGTTTTCCGCCGCTTTTCATTATTAGTATATATATGTATTATCATCTTAGCTTTTCTTACATCTTCGATAGTTTTGTAGTTATTCCTTTGCTCTTTTACATTTTTCTGTAGTTTTCCTCAGTTTTTTTCTAGTTTTCCTCAGCTCTTCCTGCGCTTTTCCTGAGTTTCCCTCAGATGTTCGTTAATGTTCGCTGCTTTTCCTCAGCTTGTCCTCAGGATGTCCCTCAGCTTTTCCTCAGCTTCTCCTCAGTTGTTCCTTGCTTTTCTTTGTTTTTCTTCAGCTGTTGCTCTACTTTCCTTTGTTTTTCCCAACCCTCCTGCGTTGGGTACTCGTTTTGAATAGAGCACTGCGGTCTCCGTTATCCTCCTCCCGCCCCCCCCCTCTCTTCCCTCCTCCTCTCCTCTCTTGCTTGCCTTCTCCTCTTCTCTTCGCTCCTCCTCTTCTCTTCTCTTGCCTTTCACGTCATCCCTGGCGGGCTGCGATCTGCGGAACTGTCACCACTTTCGAGGGCTGCTGGTGGGTCCAGCGGAGTGAGGCACCACGGGGACTCAGATTAGACCTCGCCATCCCTGGGGGGGGGGCTGCGATCTGTGAAACTGTCGCCACTTTCGAGGGCTGCTGGTGGGTCCAGCGGAGTGAGGCACCACGGGGACTCAGATTAGACCTCGCCATCTCTGGGGGGGGCTGCGATCTGTGAAACTGTCGCCACTTTCGAGGGCTGCTGGTGGGTCCAGCGGAGTGAGGCACCACGGGGACTCAGATTAGACCTCGCCATCTCTGGGGGGCTGCGATCTGTGAAACTGTCGCCACTTTCGAGGGCTGCTGGTGGGTCCAGCGGAGTGAGGCACCACGGGGACTCAGATTAGACCTCGCCATCTCTGGGGGCTGCGATCTGTGAAACTGTCGCCACTTTCGAGGGTTGCTGGTGGGTCCAGCGGAGTGAGGCACCACGGGGACTCAGATTAGACCTCGCCATCCCTGTGTGAAACTGTCGCCACTTTCGAGGCTGCTGGTGGGTCCAGCGGAGTGAGGCACCACGGGGACTCAGATTAGACCTCGCCACCCCTGGGCGGCTGCGATCTGTGAAACTGTCGCCACTTTCGAGGGCTGCTGGTGGGTGGCCAGCGGAGTGAGGCACCACGGGGACTCAGATTCTGACCACGAGCAATGCTCGCGTGCCCTTGCTCTGCGGTTCGTGCCACGTGGCGCTGCGACTCGAGCTGGCGGTCGTCCTTCGGGCCCGCAGAAACATCTGCTGAGCTCGATGAGCTAGGGGAACTACAGGAAAGAAGTGCAGGAAACGGAGGCCGGTCATGCACTCGCCGATACCTCGTTGCTCTGTCATCGTCTTTGCTGTTGCATGATCCTTATCTGGCCTGCCGGCGCCGCGGCTCGAGCTGGCGGTCGCCCTTCGGGCCCGCGGGAACATCTTCTGAGACAAGTGGACGCCGCCGCCTTACTTGCAGGCAGCGCATTGCATTCGCGGACAGCAGCATGGCAGACCGCAGTGAGATCCTCAGTCGCGTGGTGTTGCCAAGCCTGGTGGAGACGCGCGTGATCGACCTGAAGTCCCAATCGCGCGTGCACTGTACCTGCGTGGCGTTCAGGCACGCGCGTGATGCTGCTCGCTCCGCGTTCAACCAGTACGTCGCCAGTGCAACTTTGGACGATGGACAACCGATTGATGATACGCGACCCCGGCCTTGAGTTTCTTTCCCGCGGGCCGCCCGCAGACCTGGCGGCGCGCCTGCGAGCGTTCAGCTCCCGCGCTGAAATGTGCGGGAAGGAGGCGGAGAAGCTAGCGGGCGAGCTACGCCTCGCTCGTTCCTTGCACTCTAAACAAGTTTTATCATGTGGAACTCTGCGACGACATGGCGCAGGCAGCGCTGCGGGTTTAGCTCGCACTTGAAAAACGCGGCAGTCTTCTGTCTCCTCCCGCCACTTTCATCGTCGCCCTATTCCCCGCCTCACCTTCTCCATGCATGCTGCTGCTTCCGCGATGGCCTTTCGCCCCCCCCCGCCCTCCATTCCATCCCTCTCCTACCCCTCGTTCCCGTGCCCGTTCTTCTTCGATCCTGGGGCCTCAAGCCTCGTTCTTTCGATCGTCGTCCTGTGAATCGTGCAGCGCATGCGCATCCCATGTAGCTTGCACAGCAAATCGCCGCGTCTACACTGTCGCTGTTCCTGCTAATGTTAGCATGCTCCTCTTGCCATTTGATGCGCGTGGGTTGGGTACGTCGCAGGGTAATTCTATTTAGTTTTCCTCAGCTTTCCTTACCTAGCTCAGATTTCCTCAGAGTTTCCTCAGCTGTTCCTCGGATTTTCATCGGGTTTCTTCCGTTTTCTATTTAGTGTTCCACGGATTTTCCTCCGATGTCCTCAGCTTTTCCTCAGCTGTTCCTTAGCTTTTCCTTAGCTTTTCTTAAGCTGTCCTAAGTATTTCCACAGCTTTTCTTCAGCTGTTCCTTACCTTTTCTTAGCTTTTCCTCAGCGTTTCCCTAGGTTTCCTTCAGCTTTTCTTTAGTTGTCCTCAGCATTTCCTTATTTTCTAACAGCATTTCCTTAGCTCTTCCTTAGGTGTGTTTAGGTTTCTGTTACTCCTCCAGCTTTACTTTCCTCATAGTTTTACCTTCAGCCCCCCCCCCCCCCCCCAGCTTTTTTTTTTTGTTGTTCCGGATGTCGGGTGCTAAGGTAACGCCTCGGTGCTGGGCGGGGGGGATACCCTGGGATGGACCACCCCATGCGACGGCCGAAAAAATCAATTTCTCAAAGGGGTTTGCAATAGAAATCGCATCGACAGAAATGAATCAGAAAACGGAGAAGGAGGAGGGCGAGGAGGAGGAGGAGGAGAAGGAGGAGAACGAGGAAACGCCCAACGAAGGTCCACAACGGTGCTCACGAATGCCCCGAAAAGTCCAAGACGGTCCAAGAGGCATCACCGAACCCCCAGAAGAGTCCAAGACGGTCCAAGAGGCATCCACGAAGACTTCCCTAAGTCCAAGAATGCATTCCAAGACGGTCTCTGAGGTTATAGAAGAGGCCAAGACGGTTCAGCATTCCAAGCCTTC